GACCATACAGCTCATTTTGTACAGAGGGAAAAGGGACGACGAGGAATACACAGAAATACTGAAAGCGAATCGAAACGGCCCCAGGACGCCCTCCCCCGCCAGGCGTTCCTGCTCCCCCCCCTTCCCACCCCCAAATCAGCACCCGCTCCTGGACACCAGGTGTGGGTGGCACCGTGGGGACACTGTGCCAGGGGGGACCGGGACCAGGCAGGAGAGACCCGGGCAAGGGAAGCGCTGATGGGGCTGGCAGCAGGGTGCCCATGGCACGGGGGCACCTTGGGGAGGGGGCAGGTGGTGCCCCTGTCCCCATCCTGGTCCCCAAGCGGAGGAGGAGGGAGAGGATGAGGAGGAGAAGGAGAAGGAAGAATTATCCCAGTGGATCTGCACTGACTCTGGAGGAAAAGGCTCAGTCTCACCTGGTAGATTTTTAATATGAGCAATTAAATCCACACTCACCTCTTCTTTTCTACATTTTTTTTTTGGGGGGGGGTGTGAAATAAAATGACATTTAATCTGTTCGTGGCCGGAGCGGGGCCGTCTCTGCTGTGTCCCCATCCCACGCCACCCCAGGGACCGTGACACCCTAAGGGACAAATCCCACCTCCCACAGTGACCAGGAGGGACAAACAGCCCAGGCTGTCCCCCCGTCAGCCCACCCAGAGCCCCCTCCTTCCCCAGCGCAGCTGCAGACTGGGAGCACTGGGATGCTGTGGAGGCACCAGGGGCCGGTGCCTTTGCCAGCAGATGGCCCTGTGACACCGCGACATGGCAGCCACGCTGGCCCACCCGTGCCCAGCCAACCCTGAGGGCACCCACTCGCCCTCGCACCCCCGCCCGCAGCCCCCCGAGCTGGGGGGGACCCTCGCAGGGCAGGACCCCGTCCCAGCCCTCGGCTGGGGCTGTGTCACCCAAAAAGGGACGCTCGGGATTGTCCTCAGCGTGGCACAGGGCCAAGTCCCCCGGGATTTGGTGTCCTGCCAGTCCCTTCCTTCCCGCCACCTTTCCCGCCTGGCACACGGCAGCCTGGCACTGCTGATCCCCCCCTCTGTCCTGAATGTCCGGGGAGGGGACAAGGGACACCCCACGGGTGACACCACACACCCAGAGCCTCGTGCAAGGCAGCGCTGCCTCAGTTTCCCCACTGCTCCCTGTGTGTGCTGGGGGGGCACACGGGCAGTGTCCCCACGGCTCCCGGAGCTCTGGACCCCTCTGGAATTCCTCAGGGTGCCACCGTGGGGACACCCATCCCAGCCAGCTGCGACCCCCATGTCCCCAAAACTGCATGGACCCCCTTCCCAGACACAGGGCTGCACAGAGGGGACAGAGACGGGGGGACAGAGACGGGGGGCAGAGACGGGGGGGACAGTCCCCAGCCCTTTGGCATTTCCTGGCATTTCCTGGGCCCAGTGCCAGGATCCTGCCGGCTTTGCCGCCAAATCCACCGAACTTCCGCGCGGGGCGGGACAGGGACACGCTCTTGCACAACCCCAGCCAACAGCTCCTTTTATTTTTAGGCTCTTGCAACATCAGGATTTGCGACAGCCACCTGAAATGCTGCTATGGGCTCCCTGCCCTGCTCCCGAGCCGCTCCATGCCCCAGCCGTGCCTCAGTTTCCCCATTAGTTCCTTTGTCCTGTGATGGCAGCGGTGTCACCCAGTCCTGCAGAGCCCAAATGGACCCCGTTAAATCCCCCCGGAGCACAAGGATCCCACCTGGGAGCTGAGGATGAGGCCAGGACACGGCTCAGTGCAGCTGCTGCGTGTCTGCAGGAGCTGCTGTCCCCAGGTGACACCGTCCCCCAGATGGTCCCTGGCCCGTCCGAGGAGTGTCCCTGCAGTGTGGGAACCGGGCTGGGAAGAGCCAGGACAGCGTCACCACCCGGGACCCTCCAACAGGAGTTAAGGGACAGCCAGATCCTTCAAAGCCACCAGTGAGCAGGGGCACAGACACCAGCTGGCCACCGGTGCTGGGAGAGGTGGCAGCTGTGTCCCAGTGCTGGTCGGGTCCTGGCACCGAGCCCGTAACATCCCCCCTGTGGTGCCCCTTGCCTGTGAGGATGGGATGAGGCCAAATTCGTGCCCAGCGTGGCACTTTTCAGGGCAGAGCAGGTGGCACATGCCACCCTGGAAAAAGGGCAGCGCTGCACGGATGAGACATTTGCTGTCGGAGCATTTTAGAGACAAAACCGGGTGAGAAAAGGGAACCAAAAGGGATGTCCAACTCCTTGATCATCAGAGACACATCTGAGCTCACGGCTCTGGGGACAGTGGGCACCCATGAGGGCAGGGGCAGCTCGGAGCCCTGGCAGGGCTGCTGGAGGCAGCACTCCACGGGATGCAGGTGAGGAGGTGCTGCCCCTGCACCTCTCACTGCTGGACACGATTTGGGCGGCCACGGTGCCAGGGGGAACCCCTGGATCTGCCCCTGCTCCAGCTGGCACCCAGCCCTGCCAGCAGCCTGCCACAGGAACACACCAGCACGGTGACAAAATGCCGGGGCCCAAACCAGGGGAGTGCCCCGAGGACGGGCAGCGCCACCGGGATGGTGCCCGGTCAGCAAGGACACGGAGCTGCTCCTGGGCTCGATGCTCAGCCAGACCACGGTGCCGAGGACTTTAATTGATGGCGAGCCAAGCCACGCCGGGGCTGGACTGTTTTCTAATCCCAGTGTAATTAATGACCTTATCTTTGGCCAAAGCCATTTAGATTAAGTGGCTGGTGTGATGGGCTCGGCGGCTCCGGCTGCACAGATGGAAGAGCCGCGTTTGTCTGGGGATTAGCAGAGGGCAGATGGAGTGAAGTGCCATTCCCCATCCCCAAACCTCCCGGCAGGGACAGCAACCTGAAACCTGAGACCACAACAACTTTCTCAGCGAGCCCCTGGCAGGGACTGGCGAGCGATTCCTGCATTGTTTGTCCCTTCTGCAGGGCCCGGAGCAGCAGGAGCTGTGCCAGCACCAGGAACTGGTGTGACCCTGCCAGGAGCTCGATCCCAGCCCCTGCCTGGAGACCTTCAAACAGCAGAGGAGCAACACAGCAAGGAGAGTGACCTGCCTTGGAGAGCAACCCACGGCAGGGATGCTGCCCTGCCTAAATAAACTCAGGCTCTGCTTAAATAAACTTCTCAGTGGCAGCCCTCACCTCTCCAAGGAAGAAAACTCACCTGTATGGTGGTGCTGGCAGGGTCAGGGCACGTGTCCTCCCCCCACTCCCCACTCCACTGCATGGATAAGGAAGTGTGACACACCCTGTTCATCTGCAACACCTGGGAACCAACACCTGGGAATGGCCTGGGAGCCCCTGGCCCCTCTGCCCAGCACAGCCCATCCCGAGCAGGCTCCTGAAGAGAACAGGCTACCGTGGAAGAGGAATAAATGTATCCGTGGGGATAACAAAGTTCATATTAAACCGATTAAGGATATTTAATCCATCTCTACCAGTATGGACATCTGACTGCACTCAGGAGCTGGAGCAGATAATCCCAACCCTTCTTCCCAGCACTGCCCCAGTGATCCCAGCCTGGCCTGGGGAGATGACTCAACATCTCAGAGCTGTCTGTCACAAACCAGCTCAGCACATGGGGCTTCACTCCCAGCTCACACTCTGTCCATCCAGGCTGGGAGAACACAATTCCACACCACGACCTCGTGGCCGTGTGCTCCAGCACTGGGCTGAGCCCACATCCATGGGTTGAGTCAGCATGGATGGCAAACAAGCCTGGGCTGGAGAAGAAGCTCAGCTGGCACAGCACAGACCCAGCATCCCAAATTCCCAGCTTTTCCCTGCATGTTCCCTTCAGTCTGAGCTCCCACCCCCCATCACACAGCCCGAGGAACTGCCCCTTGGGGTGCTGCAGGAATAATTCCACACCGAGGAACACAAACTGGAGGTTTAATCTAATCCCCACCAAAGCAGGAATCTCCAGAGCCCACGCTGGCAGATCCACCCACGCAGCCCTTCCCTGGCAGGATGAGCCCTGGCTCTTGCCACACGGCACAGCACAAGGAAAAACTTGTGCTCTACCAACCCTCCCAGGCTTGCGTTTGCCAAGAGAATCCCAAACGCCCTGGCAATGCTGTCCTGGTTTCACCAGAGCAGCATTCCAGGCACAAATGGCACTCACATCCTCCAGGAACAATACTGGCACTGCCTGGTGGACACAGCACCAGGAATTTGCTGCTCAGTAGCTTGGATTCAAATTCAGGGCCGGTTCTCAGTGCCAAACCACAGTGTAACCCCCTGGGAATTCTGCCTTAACTAGGACAGGCTCATCTGTTGCAAACTCGATGAGATCATTTCCAAGTTCCTGTTTAACAGGTGCCAGCTCCTCCTGCACCTGCTGCGTGCACAGGGCTCCCTGCCCCCACCACGCTGGGAACATCTGCTCAGCTCCCTCAGGAGCTGTGCAAAAGGTGACTGGGAGAAGGAACCAGACCTGGATCTCCTGCCCTGTGCCCAGAGCAGGCAACTGGGGCCAGGCAGAATCAGAGAGCAAGGAAACCGCGCTTGTTAACAGGGAGGGGAACCCACAATAATCCTGCAACTTTATTTGCATATAAAAGAACAAAAAAAAAAAATATTCTCTCCACAATAAAGGCAGCCGGAGCTGGAGCTGCACTCCCGGCCAAGCTGGAGGAGTTGGGGTATTTGTGTCTCTCTGAGATCCACACAACCACATAGCAGCAGCTCAGCCATCCCAAGGATGCAGCTCTGGCAGGAATTCACATTTTGCATGGGAGAAGGCTCCCAGCAGCCTTGCCCCGGGGCCCAGCCCGTTCCAGGCAGGGCTGGGGGAGCATGGGAACACAGCGGGATGAGCCCACATGAAGAGGATCCGATGCAGCCGACGTGGCACACACCCTGCCTCATCCCCAAAAAAAAAAAAAAAAAAAAAAAAAAAAAGAAAAAAAAAAGAAAAGAAAAGAAAACCATGGATACATCTACATTTGAGGCAGTTAGAGGCTTTCCAACTGATAAAGGCTTTACAAAATTCCAAAAAAAAAAAAAAAAAATTACTCAGCTCCTTGGTTCAAGGTTCAAGGCCCAGAACTAAGGAGCTTCCTCTCCATGCAGGTGGATGCACAGCTGCTCCCTTTTCCAGGCCTAAGGCAAGGGCAGGCTGCCATCCTCGTCCGAGGTCTCTGTGTCCCCACTGTCCCCCAGGGTCCCTCTGGCATGGCTGGACGCCTCCAGCTTCCTCCTCTTCTTCAGGTGGTGCAGGTGGGATTTGGACCGTGTGTGAGCTGGAGGAACAGGCAAACAGAGCATTTAATCTGTGGAATTTGGAAGAGGAAACACATACGGGGCAGAGCACCCTCCTTTCCCAGCTTCCCACACAATTCACTCCTGAAGAAAAATGAACTCCCAAACCCTGCCCTGGCTGTTCCTCTGGACACTTCCAGACCAAACTATCAGGGCTCAGAAGAGAACAAAGCTCCCAAACCTCCTCAGGAAGGACTGAGAGAGGGGAAAACTCCTGGTTCTGTGTAAGCAGAAGATTTCAGGTTGTCACTCCCAACCTCTCCAGGGAAGAGGGAATGTGTTTCCCAGGAGGTGGCACTTTGCAGGCTGCAGGTGAGGTTGTGCAACTCCCTGCTCCCCGTGGAGAACTGCCAGGATCATTTGTAGGACTGGATCCCTGCACCACAGCACTGGGAATATCCTGTGCATCCCACAGGGCAGCCAGGGAAAAGCCTGGAGCAGAATTAAACTTCTGAATAACTCCAGGGCAGTGCCCCAGCCATGAAAGCAGGAGTCAGATGGGAACAGAGGGGTAATCCCAGGGATTTGGTTTGGAGCAGCAGGAGCTGCATTTCTGGGTGAAATCACATCCTTAAGGACAGCCAAACCTCCTTATCAGTGGTTTTATCTCAGGGCTTTGTCTGACCATCTCGGCGGGGCGGTTTTGCCATTTCCAAGAGATCAGAGCAGCAATTAAAGCACAAACTTTTCAAGCAGGGCCTTAATTAAACGAGGCTATGTGCTCGCTGAATCAAGGCCCTCAGGTGTTTTCCAGCCATCCTTTTTCTGCCAAAGGATGAAATCACATGCAAAGCTGCTGCTTTATCACAATGCTGGAGGGTCACCCTCAGCCTGAGATAAAGTCTCACCTCCTGCAATTTGTCACAAGCAACACCAAAGCTACAGTGGCTGAGGAAGTGCCAATTGCTGCTGCTGTCTGGGGAGCTGTGCTCTTCAAGTCCACATAAATTGTAAAATCAGATACAATTTTAAAATGCCCCAGAGCCAGCAGGGTGCTGGGAAGCAATTCCCAAAACTCTCTGTCACCCAAGAAAACAGAGCAGGGTGCAGATCCACCCAGCTCCCACCACTGTTTTCACCTTCCTTTTCCATTTTGCAGGCACAAGTAACACCCAGGATTTGGAGCATTTTTCTCCCACCATCTGGGAATCTGGGCCCAGTTCAGCTGGATACAGGGAATAACAGCTGCTCTTGCCTGAGGGAGGCATTGTCACCATCGATTGCTATCTGGGGTGACACCCCTGAGGACCCGGAGCTGCAGCTCTGGGATTTGGGGGGGGGACCTCGAGCAGCTCCCACTCGGTCACAGAACATGCTGGACCTAAAAGATGACAGGGACGCTGAAAGTTTTCAGTTCTGGACAAGCAGAGCTCCTTCAAAGCAGCTCCTGAGACAGCTGAGACTGACTAAAATAACAACTGCACTTAACTGATCTCACTGCAAGGAGCCTCCTACTCAGAGCCAGCTCTTTGCTTTCAGCACTTCCCCGCCTCAGTCAGGAAAAAGCAACTCCTTCCAACCCAACAACCCGGGAAATTTATCTCTGGTTGTGTCTGCATCTGCTGGTTTTGGCTGGGGCAGAGTTGATTTCCCTCACAGTAGCTGCTCTGGGGCTGTGTTTGGATTTGTGCTGAGCACGGGGTTGATAACTCAGGGATGTTTTCTTATTGCTGGGAGTTCTGGAACTGCCTCAAGGCCTTTTCTGCTCCTTACAGCAACACAGAGGGGGCTGGGGGTGCTCAGGGGGTTGGAGGGGACGCAGCTGGGAGAGGTGACCCCAGCTCACCCCAGGGACATCCCAGACCATCCTGGGGGGAAGGAGGAGGAAAGGGGGGGGATGATGGAGTTTGTCTTCTCAAACTCAAGTTAGATGTGCTGGAGCCCAGATTTCCTGGGGATGGCTGAGCATCTGCCCAACCACAACAAGCAGTGAATTAAGTCCTTGTTTTGATTTGCTTTCTCTATTGAACTTTAACTCAACCCACAAATTTTCTCACTTTTACCCTTGCAATTCTCTCTCCCAGAGACAGAGAGTGGGTGAGTGGCTGTGGGGGGCTCAGATGCTGAGGTTAAACCATGACCCTGCACATCCTGTATTTGGGCAACACATGGAGATTTACCAGCTTCATTTCTGCAGCCTGTTTCTCCGTGACTTTTTGTTTCTGGTTCTCAGCAGGAGCCTCCCAGCACAGATAAACTCACTGACTTAATCTGATTCCAGCTGAGCTCTTTTAAAGTCTATGGAAAACAGAAAATCCCTTTTCTATTACCATTGCAGCTAGGAATAATTTAAAAAGAAAAATAAACACACGCAAATAGGAAATATTTGAGAAAATAGGAGAAAATCTGAACTATTAAAAACATTAAGAAACTTTCATTTACACAACAGAATTTTAGAGGAGAGAGATTTGCTCTGTGCTTTTTGAGGAAGCATCCCCAGTGTTGTGAAGGAGCAGGAGCCCTGACTAAACGCAGCAGCTCTGAGCTTGCTGCCACATCAGATCCCTGCTGTGATGCTCTCCGTGTTTATTGGGTGCTGGGGAAGGGGGGGAATCCTGACAGATGGTTCAGGATGGCACAGCTCCTGCAAACAATCCTTGAAAGGCCAGGATTGTGAGCTGGGGTGGGGTCATGCAGCCACAGGGGAGCTGCTCCATCAGCCCACAGAAGCAGAGCCCTCCCAGGTGCCCTCCTGGGCCCTACCTGCCCACTCCCTGTCCCCGATGATGATTCTGTCACAGAGCTCACACACGCGATGGCTCCGCTTGTTCTCCTCGTCCTGCTCCATCCTCAGGGGCTCTGCCGGGGGCTCACGGCCCTGCACATCAAATAATGCCTCAAATTGGTCTCTGCCACGAACATTTGCCTGTGTTCAGTCCCATAGAGGTTGGGATGGGAGCTTGCCAGGCTCAGACACTGAGGTTGGCAAGGCAGACAATGGAGTTTTACCCAAGTGCAGCACTGGGGAAAATGTTCATCTGAGACAACAGACTTGTACTGCTGCAAGGAAATGCCCAGGCTGGGCAGTGAACAGCCAGCCTTGCTCCAGGGAGAGACTGTGTGCCAAGTGAGGGGGCCTGGAGACCACAGAGAAGTCAGTCAGTGTTAAACCCAGCTCCTCAGTACCTGGATGAAGCTCTCCACAATCTCCAGGGCAGGTTTCACCACATCCTCCTCCCACCTCTGCAGATCAGAAACCTCCAAGCCATAAACTGGGGGAACATTGGGCCCAGGACCTACAAAAACACAACGAGGCAGGTCAGCACCAGAACCCCCCAGCACCCCCTCCCAGAACCCAGGGGGAGCAGAGGGATCTGCTTTTTCCTATCAGCATCCAGGAGCCACCAGCACCAGGCTCTGCAGAGCCAGAATTCTCTCCTGCAAGGAGCAGGAACACCTCAGGACTCAGGGAAACATCTTCACAGGAGAGTGTTCTGGAATCTGAGCGTGCCAACAGCCCATCACAACAACAACCCCCTCAGCCCTGGTCCACAGGAGGCTGGGAGGATGAAAGAGCTGGATCCAGGCACAAAGCCATCACACCACGCTTACATGGAGCCTGGCTGAGGGATCTGAGCGTGCACAGAGCTGGAACTGATCGTGCAGGGGCTGATGCTCCTGGTTCCTGGCAGCAGGACATGGCAGGAGATGCTTTACTAATGACAAGGGACAGGTTCACAGCCACCCCTTTGGTCTCCCCATGGCCCAGTGCCAGGGCACAGGGCACTTGCTGCAGGCTGGACAGGGTGAAACAGCTGCCATCACACAGCACCTGCTCCCTGGGTGACCTGGCTGCTCTCCATGGCTCACCTGCCCTCCACGGGCACCTGGCCGTCCCTGCCTGGACAAAGCCATCAAAGGCTCCACGTGCCAGTCCCCAGCAGGTGCTGGTTTTATTGCTGTGCCTACAAACAAGCCCCTGACAAGCCCATCTGAAGCACACCTGCCACCAGAAAGGTGAGCTGAGCCACCCAGCACATGGCTCTGGCAAAACTCCTGCGCCTCCTTCAAAGTCCCTCTCTTTTTGACTCGAGTTTCTCTCTGCCTCCTCTCTTTTTTTTTTTTTTTTTAATTATTATTATTTATTTTATTGTTGTTTTGCCCCTACTGAGCACCTTTCAACAAGTGCCCGGCTCCCAGCTGCTGCTGCTGGCCCTGCTCCAAGGCTGGGGCTGGGATGGGGAAGTCCTGCTGGCTCCCTGCCACTGCAGAGAGCACGGCCTGGGCTCGCAGCAGCCACGGGGCTCCTGCTCCTAATCTGGAGGGCAGCTGTCAAATGGGCTTTTCTCCCTGCCAGCAGCATGTGTGGGTGCGTGGGGACCCCCTCCCTGACCCCCTCAGGAGCATTTGGCAGGATAAGCTGCAGGGATGTTGTGACTGCCATCATCTAGTGGTGCCTGACACGGGGCTGAGACTCTGCTTGGGATTTTATCCCTGCTGCTGGGAGGGGATGGGGTACGGGGGTACAGGAGGAGGAGCTGGCTCTGGAGGGTCTGGGATGAGAGGCTGTGGGCAGGAGATCCACCCCGAACAGCTCCTGGGGCTGCTGCCTTGTGGACAGAGCGCGGTACTGCAGACACCCCCCGAGCTGGAGCCCTGCAATGCAGCAAGGAGTGTGCAAGGAGTGAGTAACAAGTGTGCAAGTGAGTGTGCAATAAGTGTGCAATGTCTGTGCAAATGAGTGTGCAAGGAGTCTGTAAGGCGTGTGCAAGAAGTGCGTAGGGGGTGTGCAATGCATGTGAATAAGTGTGCAAGGAGTGTGTGAGCAGCGTACAA